TCGAGTAAAGTATTATCTCGAAAAGAGGAATGGTAATCTTCGTCTCGCGCGCGTTCTTTTTCTTTTTCTTTCTTTTTTTCTTTCTTTGCAGATCTTAGAGCGAACGTGTAATACGACTGAAGAAGTGATAGAAACCTTCTCGTATATATCAGTAGTATTACAAATAAAACTTAGATAACAGTACAAGATGGCATGCATACATTATAATGTGAAAATAAGAATTGTTATTTTCTTAAGTAAAAAAATTGTGGGATTAACAAACAATGTAATTTGCTCTAATTATTGAAACGAAAAAAATAATAAAAAAATATTTTTTCAGCTTTTTTACCATATTTATTTTAAAATTTTTTAATAAATATATTTTATATATTTAAATATATTGCATACATTTACGATATCACAGTGTTTTTTATCAGGACGTAAACATTCTTATATATTCGAGAGGCTAGTGTTCTATTTTAATTATAATTCTGTTGTCTACGTGAAAATTAATCCGAAATTAAAACATATGTGATAACACTTTACGTATATAGCTCTTAAAATATATTGGTTTTAACTTTGCATCGTTATACATATGTCTATATATAGTTCCTGATGAAAATTAGACCAAAACTTTGTTACATATCGCTCATTAAGGAACGCCCACCAACAGAGATTCTAGTAGAATAATTTAATTAAAGCATAGCTTAATTATATCGCAAGTTATATATGTATAATATACATATATCACAAATTAACATAAGAACTTATGATGTGCAAGAAAGGTTTGCATTAATCTAATAATTTTTTACGAAGCATGAATAATGTCAATTACAATAAGCATAATTGCACTAGTAAACTTAAAGAGAACTGCATTATCTGATAGTTATCTCGCTATGGAGATTTGCGTTTCTTCCTTCCATCTTATTATTCTTCAGACCTTAAATATCTTCAACAGATTGGTATCGTGTTTCACCCGCAAATTGACTTTGACACTTGAATCGAATAGTGGCGAATGATTGAAGTGTTACTCAGTAAACTTAATTAAATGCACGATGTTGAATGTTTACGTTACATTTAATTACCTTAGTTTCCTGCATATGTTTAAATACAATACGCGCGTTAGATTTTTAATTGTATGCGAATATTAGTAATAATAATAATCATGTTAATGCAGAATTGTATTTAAAAAATATTAAATTAAAAAGAGATATTCATACATAATAATACAGATAAATTTTGTAGCGCATGAAATTTGCATGTTACATTATATGTATATGTTTGTTGCATTATACATATATGAATATGTAAACACATACACACGCACTCCATAACACATATGGAACGAAATTTTAAGACATCATTTCATCTCATTTGACATGTTTCATAACAGACTACATAACAAACATAATAACAAATTTAATTGGCTAATTAAAAAGAAACAAGACGAATATCTGAGAAATATCAAACCGATTAAACTTAGTTATTCCATCAACAAAATAGACATTCCACAATCAACAATTTCAGTAAACAATAATATAAACAAAGACATTGTCATATATCCTAATAAATTCAGAGACAAACATATTAATCCTCTAACCAGTACTAACGAAAAATGGTTTATTAATTTGACTGACACAATAATTCCTACCAATGTCACTAATCTATTACAATTTGGAAGTAAATTCGGCCTGCCGTTTAAGAATGACAAAAAGTTGGCCATACACGAGTTTATCAAAGATATAGAAGGGAATTCCACTAGTTCTAACATGAAAAATTTAAATACATTACGTAACAATCTGGTTCCACAACTTTCCTATTTTTTACACGGCAAAACTAAGTTTAATTCAACTCATGAAGATTTGATTAGTATGTATAAATATACAAGGAGGTTTTGCCATGATAATCCGGATATTCTTTTTACAAGGGCTGATAAGGGCAACGTAACAGTCGCGATGACAAAAGAATATTACACGAATAAGATGGAAGGTTTACTTGAAGACAATAGCACCTATTCTATCATAAAAAAGAACCCATCCTCCAAAATAGAAAAGGAACTAAACGATATTCTTAAGAAATGGCAAAAAAAAGGGTACATTTCTAATAAAGAATATTACTCACTACGTTCCAGCGACTCCCTTCTTCCAAAATGTTATGGTCTCCCAAAAATACACAAGGAGAATACTCCATTTAGAGTAATTGTGTCATCGATTAATACCACGCTTTACTCGATAGCCACATTTTTACATAAAATCATTTCAAATAGTATTCCTACGGGAAAAAGTAATGTAAATAATAGTTTTGAACTTTACAGCAAGCTAGCGGGTAAGAAAATTGGTGCGGAAGATATTCTAATATCATTAGACGTGGTTTCACTATTCACTAACATTCCGATAGATCTTGCAATAGAAAGTGTGAGCAATAGATGGAATTATATCAATACACATACATTAATTCCAAAAAATGAATTCATTTCCATGGTTAAATTTATATTGTCGTCAACATACTTCACATTCAATGACATTGTATACAAGCAAGTTTATGGCACACCTATGGGTTCCCCGTTATCGCCAATAATTGCTAATATTGTTATGCAAGATCTTGAAGAATCAATAATTAATGAATTGGACATCGGTATTGGAATATATTATAGATATGTAGACGACATTATTATGGTGGCACCAAAGAATAAAATTGATAGCGTATTGAATAAGTTTAATAGTTACAATCAACGACTACAATTTACGATTGAATACGAAATTAATAGAAGCATAAATTTTCTAGATTTAAACATTAAAATAATAGACAACATCATACACTTAGATTGGTTTCAAAAAAAGACATGTTCAGGTAGAGTACTATCTTTTTTATCGAGTCACCCTATGTGCCATAAAATAGGAGTAATTTATAATCTTATTAATAGGGCATTGTTATTATCTCATCCCATATATCATAAGAAAAATTTAGAACTGTGTATTAAAATATTATTGGACAACGGTTACCCTATTCATTTAATCTTTAAAGAAATAAATAAGAGAATAAGAGTTTTAAACAATGGTCAGTTTAACAACAATAGAAAAAAAGAAATTGCAGAAGATAATAGCAAGAAAAAATTTTCGTCATTCCATACATTAATAACATTTCTGAGACAATAGCATCGACAATAAAAAAATCAGATTTCAGAGTAGGATACCGTTGTCTAAATAATCTTAACAAATTAATTAAAGTCCACAAGGACAAAAACGTGCATAACAATAATAATAATGTTGTCTACAAAATTAATTGTAAGGATTGTGAAGCTTCGTATGTTGGGCAAACCAAAAGAAAATTACGCACTAGACTAAAAGAGCATATGAATAATATTAAATTTGATTCCTCCAAGCATTCTGTGGTCTCTGAACATATTATAGATAAAAAACATGCTTTTGATTGGGATAACGTTAAAATACTTGATATTGAATCTAATTATTATAAAAGACTTATCTCGGAAATGATACACATCAAGGAACAAAGGCATGGTATAAATAATAACACAGACACCGAATTGCTTAACAACGCGTATTTCGACATTCTAGAAGAAATATCGAATTTTTAGACTTATGTAAATGTTTATTTTGTGAGATCTGACACCTATTTATTCGACTTTTTAAAAGACTAGACAACAGTCAAGTACTAACAATAAGGCCAACAACAATTAGAAGCATCGTCATCTCAAGTTATTCGGAACAATTTGTAAGCATAAAGGTTCAATATTTTAGTAGTTAGTTTAATTTATAATTTTAATCTTTTTTCACATACACATTAGTGGAATCCTATTTTACAATTGAATAAATTCTTTAAATTCAGTTAACAAATATCAAATAATTTGGAGAGGATGAACATAATCATTGCCAGATCGAGGGACTTTCGTCAAATAACGATAAGTGGTTCATTTGGAGTAATGTATAAGTGTCACTCCAAGTTTTTATTAATAATTCTAATATATTTTATGAATAACCGGACGAATCATTCTGCTTCTAATTGGGTTCTTACTTTGTTGAACTATTTTAATGGTCTCAATTCATTGTAAATATATTTTGCGTTTTAACTATGACTCAACTATATAACTTATATTGACTATGTATTGCGGATTTTTTATTAGAATTTTATGTATTTATTTATTATCGTTATTTATTATCACTATTTTTTTGCGCACTGAAGAGGAGCAAGTAGAGCTCGAAACGTTTGTATAATTATTATTTCAAATTAAGAATTTTCTTCTCAATAATAAAATAATATCGTATTGCTCGTTACACATGGCCTTAATTTAATAATTTATCATTGAAAATAATAAGTTTTAAGTGCAAAATAAAATATATTAGATAAGATATTTTTTTAATTGTTCTACATTTCTCATTGTCAGATATTAAAATTATAATCTATAATTTATGTACATAAATATTAATAACATTAATAATAAATATTTTCATATAAGTAATTTTTATATAGTAATTTTTATAAATAAATAATAAATTAAATATAAAAAATGTATAGAAAAAGAAAAATTTTGGATTGGAAGATTGTGCATTTTGTATAATAAATATGCTAAAATCATATTTTAATTATACAAATCTTGAAAATAGTTAATGTCTGTGAAATTGCAAATGACTATTTGCAATTTTCATAGTGTGCATTTTACGAAATATATATTGTGATATATTATCTTGTTTCGTATACTTATGTAATATTAATCTGCATTAGATTGACCTGAAGAGTTAAATATAGAGGGTAAAATTGATAGCGATTTTATGCATGCCAACAACTTTCAAAGTAATATGCTAAACACAAACGATCTCAAAAGAAGAAAAAGGCAAATTATGCAGAAAAGAGGATTAAACATCACTTCGCGTCTCAAAACTGTGAAACATACAAGATCATGTAAAAGTCGTTGTGTTATACAATGCCATACAAAAATATCATTAAATTTAGTCAGAAAATTAATAAATATATATATATATAATAGATTTTATATATAAACTTACCTCAAAGCTGAGAAGCCCGCTGTGATCCTGGTCCAAAGTATTAAAAACGTAATGCGCATACTGGCTTGTATTAGCTACACAAAAAAACAAATATTTATTTTCATATATTTTATATGTATATACATATATTATATATATATATATATATATATATATATATATGTAATATTATTTTTCTATATATGTTTATATGTTTTATTATACTTTTCGTTTAACTTTGTTTATTTTTCTTTATTCCTATTAAAATTATGATTTATATCAAAATTATACAATTTTTTATTAAATATCACTATATGTTAAATATTACATTATGAAATTAATGTATTATAACATTTTTAAAAAGTTCTTACTGATACACAAATAATTACATTCAGGTTATATTTCAATCTTTTTTACACAAAAGTATATCTTATTTTATCGATTATTACCAGTATTAATTCAAGTTTTTTATAATACAAGTTATAAATTATGTCGATATATACGGTCATATACAAATTAAAAACTAAGGTTCGGGTATGCTCTTCTAAAAAGCACCTTCGATCCCTCAGGGGAGAATAAAGCATACATACATACAAATTGAAAACTGGAGCAATTTAAATAGGATTTGATATAGAAAAAGAAATATTTCATAAAAGGTAACTCTCACTAGAGATATCAAGTACTTAATAAGCAATATTTGATCTCTTTCATTGGACATTGCTGTTCGAGATCGAACAAAAATACATATTGGCATTAACTTCAATTGGAAAGCTGAAGCGTATCTCTCTCGTCATAAAAACACTTCAATTTTCTAACAGATATACACGCAATGAATTTAAACGAAACCTACAAAGACCGTCGAATCTGTTGTGGATGGCTCGTAAACTGGATATCCATCGGTGTGTGTTAATAACTTCCAGTCGAGATAACGCGAATGCTTCAAATCTAAAGCGAAGATTTATATAGGCCAGAAATTATCACGCCATATATATTCATGTTGCGCCGGTTGCACCTTTCGCTGTTCCCCGGTAAGATTTATCATGTAAAGATTTTACAAGAAAGAATTGAACAAGATATACTACTTTTTAACGCAGCAATATATTTGCCCTTACTATCCCACGTATAATATATATTCAGCAGTTTTTAAGAAATGATTTATTTGCGGATTTCAAAAACCTATATTTATTGTTTTATATAACTTGTTACATACATTATATATTCTATTGAAAATATTAATTGTAAGACTTTAATTACAATAGCAGAAATTATTGATTTGATTAATGTTTAATTGTAAAAAATTTATTGTATATATTTGATATTTTTTGACAATTTCTTTATAATCTCAGACAAATTACAATTGCCTTTTATTTATCAAGAAATGATTTTTTGTTATAATTAATAATTGTCACGATAAAGAAACATAAAGATGATATTAGTGAAAAATAATCGCTAAATAATCTATGTCACACGATAAAATATTTTAGAATAGCATAATGGAAAATGTCAAATTTCTTATTGCTTGAGAACTTAAGACAAAACTTATCGAAAGGATTCACTTGGAAATTTGTAGCAGTTCCTATCATACTTCCGACATACTGTACAACATTGCGAGTTTATCGCGAAAGACTGGGATATAAAGTGTATTAACTCGTCAAAGTTCAGTAGCGTTGCAAACTGCATCTTCGTGGAAAACGTGTTCAATTGGAACAATGTGAAAATTCGAAAATTAGTTTTCTTCACCTGGACGTGTCCAACTAGTAAAGCATATTAAAAAATAAATACAATATTTGTACGTATACTTTAAGATATATAAACACATACTGCAACAACTTGACATAGAAATATTTTTCTCTTTTTTTTTCTTTTTTATTTCACATATTTCACTTATATGTTTAACTCTTTTTTTAATTGATCTGAGTAATATAAGTGACTTTGTATATATTTCTTTATAATTCAGAAACTGAGTAAGATTTCTCGTTGCGTTTAAGTCATAGTCGTAATCCGTGCACACAATCATGTTCTATCACATCGTCCTCAGAGAATTGCGAAGTTACCATCTCTAGGTGAGAGGTCACATATCTCACACCTAGAGTCATATATATGTACAAATTCTGCATATGTATCGTATGAAGGTATATACGTATACCTAGGTATGTACTATGCGGTTGAACGTGAAATATAGAGTTATCTTTATACTATCTTTATAGCCGATATATACAAGACACTTCAAATATACTCCAGATGTCTTATCGAGAAAATATTTCGCACATAAAAGCAAAATACGAGATACAAAATATAGCAAGATACTTTTAAAATTATAAATAATTATATTTTTTGTTGCAATTAATTAAACTAATGTAGATATGGAATTTCCGAAAGAGAGATATCAAATTTTATTACATTAAATAAATTTTCAATATTGCGAGCATTTCTTCGTGCATATTTAAATATTTATATTCATATTTCAGAGAGAATGCATAACATAGTTACGCAAATCTGAAGTAAAAATAAGAGAGTCTCGGATCTCTTTCTCCCATCTTGAGAGAGTATTGAAGCAGGCGAATTGCTCTGCATGAACTAACGAATACAAATCGTGGATTGTTATCTTAGGAAACTGTGATTTATCGCGATGTCATATTTTACATATTCGACTTTTGATTGTCGGGACAGATCTCTGTAATATCCCTTTATTGTGTCGACCTCGTATTCGATATCAGAGGTATAAATTTCATGTGGTGAATTGCACGTGCAGGTTTACACTATTCTCTTGGGTTTTGGTTGGCCGGGGGAATTTTAGATAAGTATAAACACGTATATATTCCTGATAAAAGACGCTGTGTGCTAAGGTTCTATCGAACATTTATTGTGACAATTTTCGTGTCTTTTTAATTACTTTTTAATCGTAAATCTTGTATATTCAATCAAATATACAGATAGTTACTTTGACTTTTCTCCAAACCAAAAAAGACCATGATGTTGTAAACTCTTCATAGATAAATTATCTAAAAGTATGCTCACATACACACACACACACACACCTAATGCGAATGAGGCTCTAATTAAAACTTTTAATTTAATTGCCATGTATGTGCTGTTTTATATTGTCCTTGCTTGCCCAACCGTTCGATTTGTACTTAATTAACACAATGCGCTGTAAATAAATCTCTATAAACCCTTTTTCTCTGCAATTTAAGATTAAATATCTTGTTTTTCTTTTGTGAAGCAAAGATCGCGGTAAACACAAAGAATGCTAATTAGTTGTCTTTTGTAATTTTGTATATTAATTATATTTTTTTTCTTCTTTTTTATTTAATCTTCACATTATACATATATTTTCAGAGTTATTTGCATATATACTCCTTTTTTCTACAAAACATTTATCATTATAAAAAAAGCTTTAAGTTCCCATTCAATACATTTTCAATATTTCGTACATTTCTCTTTAGATTACTCTATTAATATTAATTATATTTTTTTTCTTATTTTTTATTTAATCTTCACAATATACATATATTTTCAGAGTTATTTGCATAAATACTCCTTTTTTTTACAAAACATTTATCATTACAAAAAAGCTTTAAGTTCCCATTCAATACATTTTCAATATTTCGTACATTTCTCTTGAGATTACTCTTTGGCTAAATAATGTCGTATTTATCTCTGTATCGACAAAAAGAGATACATAAGCTTCTCAGAAAAAAGAAACAATAAATTTTGTTGTAAATCGTAAAATAGTAGACGTTTAAGATGGACATACATATATCTGGGCCATTGTCTATTCGGTGCAAGAAATTTTTTTTCAAGAATTTTGGTCTCGATTGCTCGTAAATCTGCGATTGATCCACCTTTTACATCCAGCAACAAACAAATCATGATATCGACAAGGTATTGTGGCTTCAGGTATAAAACCGACGAGAAGTTTGTTGATGACAGGGAGCCTTAAATGCTTCATCGATTCTTTGAGTTTGTGAGTACAAAAGGTCACCTGCATCGCTTTTTATATCAGCGTATAGTGTTAGTTATAGTGGCGTATTATTAACATGTTTGGCTATGAGAAAAAAATATGAAAATGCAATAAATCTAGAACATAAATTTTTTCGCTTTATTTGTTATAATTTAAAAAATTTTAAGATCTTAGTTTGTTACTAAATTATTTTTTACCATATATTATTAAAAATTGCTTAATTATTAGAAATTAAAGGATAAAAAATTTGTATTGTAATAATAAATTATTGTAATTAAATTAGATGCAAAGAAAACATTTTCTAATATCGCGAAAAAATCTATGATAAATATTTAGTAATGAACTACATGACATCTTCATAAATCATAATGAAGTTAATTGATTTTAGTTAAAACGTGGCGCGAGAAGAACGTAATTTTCGAGAACGTGAATTGCATCGAGTTAATGCGCGGAACACGCGCGTAGTCATGGATAACCATATCTCTCACGTGAATGGATAAAAGCGAATGCGTTTGAAACGCAGTACCATTTTGATCTGGGGAGTTCGTTACCATGGCTACTGCGTTCAGCGAAGGGCCGTAGTTATCCTGGTTGTTGGATTATTCTCTTTCCTTCTTCATGTGATACTCTTCGATGCATCCCGATGCTGTCGTTGTAGCGAGGAAATTTAAATGCGAATAAATGCGCGGCGAATAAATAAACCGGACGATATATTCACCGCCGTTCTTTTCGTAGAATAAACATTTCTTTAGTTTTTTACGGAATATTTTCACATCGTATGTTTAAAAAAATCATCGTGTTTATAAAAGAATGTATGTTTAGAAAAAAGGAAGGCAATTTGGAATGTGCTGTGTTGTCACTAATTAAAAATTCTACTGTTGAAATATATATGTATATGCAGCAAGTATAATTAATACATGTAAAAATACTTTTCTTTGTAGTTTAGTTATTTATATTAAGATATAATAAAACAATAATAAATTAATTTTTTCAGGTAATTTATTTTTAAAAATTTAATGTTTTTATTTAAATTTTTATTCAAAAATTACGGAAGCTTATCTATTCGAATATTTAACTGCATCGTATCATATTCTGCTCGTGTGACGTCACTATTTCGTGGTATAATATATT